ACTTGACTACTGTCAGACTTCTGTAAGACTTGGAAGCTCACAAGTCCTTCTCTGGCCATTTGAGAGATTTAAAAAAAAAACTCTTTTCGCTTGCAAACTTGTTTACTTTTGCTTACCTAGGATTTCTGTAGAAATTGCTGCTGTATTTTTTATTGATCCCTTTCCACTTCCCAGTATGTATGAACTATTTATTAATGAAGGATTTATTAATATTAATGTTTTAATGATTGTTTTTAATATAGGCTATTATTATAATATTGCCTGTTTTTAATGGTTTTAATGTTTGTAAAGTTTTAATATTGGTGTACGCCACTCAGAGACCACTGGTAATGTCATGGCTTAAAAATCTTGTAAACAAACAAACAAACAAACAAACTATGCAAGCCTGTTTCTTTATTGGAGGGGACAGTGTTGGAATGACATTTAAAGTTCTGCCTACTTTCAGAAGAATCTTGCTTTGAACCGCAGAGAAGGAAGGATTCTCTCTTACCTGCATTTGTTGGTTGAGCACAAGCTCATTTTCAGGATCCTTTACATTCCTGTTGCCTTGGTCACTACTAGTTTCTCTTCTTTCTTCATTGTACATGAAGGAGTAATCATCAATGCCTTCATTCTGCATGATCTTCCTCACTAGCTCTTTCTTAGTCATCGGTGTTCGGATAATTTTCAAATTGCTCGTGTAGATTATAATCTTACCAAAATCTAAAATAGGAGGTTGCTGATACAGAATGCAGGTACATGTTAAATCTAAAATAATAGAAAAACCAATAACTGTCTTATAAAAACCACCAGCCAGTACTCAATAGTAGTAAATCACAACTTGAGTAGGCCCATTCAATCAATGGGGATCTGGTGAATGAACTCCTCCATAAAGTTTCATTGACTCTAGTCTAGTTGTGACTTACCACTGGATTTCAACCATTGTATAGCATCTCATTTGTCTACTTCCACCTTTAATTGCCAAGGGCAAGTTAAAAAATAACCTCAATAAACTAACGTAGTAAAACTATTAATCTACATTCAAGTAGTAAAAAAGAAATTACTATGTGAAGTGACTGGGAAAATTCTTGTACTTGTTACTCTCTCTCTCTCTGTAATGATAAGCACCTTTGTCTCTCCATTGCATGAACCCTGCTCTACATATCTGAAAAGAAATTCCAACTAAACCTGGGTTACTTAGTGTGAAAAACACTATTTCAGCCATAGAGCCTTTGGTGATTCTGACAGCTAGCAACCATAGCTGCTGCTGCTTCCCATAGCAAGGAACCACTGAGCTTGGAAAGAGAGGGAATGGTGAAGAGGAATGAAACCAAAGACTATAATCACTTATATTTCTCTACTGAGTTGGTAACCTTTCCTCGAATGCTTCAGTTCATAGGAACACAGCCAAAATGACATAGCTCCCACAAGCCTAGTTTCGAAGTATCATGTGGTCTTTGTGAAACAAAAACAAAGTCAGCAAGTTGAAGACGCCACCATTAGACCTAGTAGATGTTTCCTTGTATCTGTCTTGTGACTGTCCAGGTAATGTTGCCACCTGCATATGGGGAGTTTATGAAGCTACTAGTGGCCCACCATATTAATGGCATTCAGGTTTTCTGTGACCTGAAGAGTACGTGGCAGATGCAGGGTTACTGAACCTGAATCAATTGGTATAGCAAAAATGGTGCACAGGGCAGCTCACAGGAACATTAAATAAAAGATGAACATATTAAACACACAAAACATGATGAACTCTGAAAAAAGAGGAACATTTGGGGCCTAGTCAATAAAATATAAAAACACATCTGTAAGAAAAGTACAATATGAAGCTTGTAACCAGCCCCATCCTTAGCAGCCTGCCAGGCAATAGGGAGGGAGTCAGCTCACCCTTCATAGGTAGACAGTTCCAAAGCCCCAGAAAACCCCATGAGAAATCCCTCTCTCAAATCTGTATGTACCTTTAGTTTCCCGTCACCTACTCTATTGTCTTTGGAACTAACTGTCTTTCAGAACTACAGCCCTTTCCCCTAAAATAATATATTCTCATTTTGTTCTCAGGATTGTTCCTACAAGGCTGCTTGGAGGTTGTTTGTATTGTAGTCTATTAGGATAAATTTCTATTAAGCTGCCTAGCAAATCTGATCTAAACAAGAGATTACAGATAGCCAACTGGACCTCCCCCGCTGCCCCAAAAAAAGGGACATTCACTTTTTAAAAATGGTATTTGAATTTATTGAGTCATCAAAGCCAAGAAGAAGCATTACTTACCATGCAGTTGTCCACCGGTGGCTCCTCATTTAGGAGGGAAGGACTACTTGTGAGAGTGTATTTGTTCCCCTCTCTGAACACGCTTATCCTCTGTGCATTCAGTTTAGCTGGCGGGCAAAATCTGGATTCTGCAGCTTCATCAATCCCAAAGAAATGGTCTTTGGATTCAAAGTTCCAGTGCCGAAAACTGTGAGGATATTCTACTTGAGGGATTTCAAGTTCCTGCCCATCTTCATAGACCTGCTTTAAAACTCGACCGCTGTATGCTGAGGATATTTTGAATCTAACTTTTCGGGATCTTGCATCATGCATCTGGCTCAATTTCTTCTGAAGTTCGTCCATAGATTGAGAGGTTTTTTTGCAGTGCTTCTCAGAAACTAGTTCAGCAAAGACAGCTTTGGTCATGCAATAAAGGACTCACAATAAGCTGGGCAATGCATAATTCACATGCTCTGTTGGTCCTTCTCACATTACAGTTTAAGAGGACACCTTGATATTAAACATTGATGCAACCTCACACGAAGAAACAACCGCTGTGATGAAGTGTCCAGGAGAAATGTGCTCTATGTTGATTTACATTGTGTTTGATTTAAGGGCAATATTTAAAAGTAATTTGTAGCTAGAGGAAAAGGAAATGTGGCTACAGATTAGTAAATGTTTCATAGGGACAGGAACAATTCCAAACATGTAGTTGTTACTGAGCAGCTAGGTTATATCGTTTCATCTTAAACAAATTAAAAGATCAAGTGGTAGAGTACGTATTAAAGAAAGAATCCAGTGAGTTACAGGATTTCTTGATCATACCATGTTGAAAAAGACTTTGGCTACAATCCTATGAATAGTCAGTCACCTGTGGAACAGAGTGGAATCAGCCTTTTCAATAAACATCCACAGGATGTGACAATATATAGGGTTGCTGCTTCCCATTTGTAAATTATACAACATGTTGACCCTGGATGCACATAATTAACCACATAAAAAGAATGATGCTGGATCTGAGTGAAGGGCCACCGGTCCCATACGCTGTTCACATAGCAACCAACCACTTGCCTATGGGAAGCCTGAAAAGAGGACATGAGTATAATTGACTTCCCATCCCACTCATGTCCCACAGCAATGAATAGAGAGAGACACATCATTGCTCATACTGGAATAACTGTGGAGCCACTCGCAGTGGAGTTCTCCATGAATTTGGCCTTTGAAGTCATTCCAAGTGCCACCTATCATTATGTGGTAGCCAATTCCACAGATTATCAGTATGCACTTCGTTTTGCCTGTCCTGAATTTCCCCCCATCCAGCTTACATGGATAATCCTGGTATCATTTAAGAGGAATAAAGCGATCAATTTTTTTTCACTTCTCCTTCACACATAATTTTCCCAAGCTGAACGGCCCCAAATATCATGGGAAAATGCTTACCAGTTTTCTTTTCTCTGTTATTAAACTTGTTCTGCATAATATCTAATTTATCCTGAATAAAGTTCCTAATAAATTTCCTCAGGAAATAGGGTAACTTAAAGGTACAGTGTCTGAAACTTTTGAGAGCTGATTTCACAGTGAACTAACTAATTGAAACAAATATTATTGAATTTCAATGAATTATATTTTTGGATTATTTCATAGAAATAGAAGATGGTGATATCTCATTGAATTGTTCCTGATGATGGAAAAGCTTTGGTCAGTGGACCAGTAAGGAAAATAATTCCCATCCCATCCCATGCACACCCTCAAAATATGCTTCCAATGGTTTTTAATATCTTTCAGAGCATATGGTAGGGTGGGGAGAGTATAAGGTAAGGATTCTCACTGCATGAACAGAAATCTTCTTATTGGTCTCACCCAGAATCTCTTGACTAATGCTGACAAGTCATTCATTTGGAAAATCATGTGTTTCTATTAATGCAGTCAGTAGTACTTGGCCTTTCTGAGGTGACGGCTCTGATGAAAATGTATATTTTTAGTCTCTCATTCACTAACTTAAAGCATTCAGTCTCTCAGCTACATTAAAGTGAGTAGTGCTGTTCTTCCCATGCATATTGTGTAATTTGAATCTTCCACTCCTGTAATTTACTTTAGCAGCAGTAACTCCTGCTGCTACAGCAACTGCTAGGAATCTCAAAGTGCTGACTAACGCTGAGCCTCAGAAAGGTTACTCCCTCCACTACCATTGTAGCTCATTACAAAATGGAACTGCTGCTTTACCTTTTGGTAGGCTGCAGCACCCTCACTGCCACTGGCCAAAGGGTGGTATTGCAACTACCAGTTCAGAAAGGATCAAATGATACAGGAGCTAGAAAGGTTCCTGATTCGATCTGTCTTCACTCCTTAGTCTGAGCAGCCAGAGGAAGTTTCAGATAACTTGGAAGAAAGCACGTGATGATAACTACCCGGGCCCCGGGCAAGGCAAAAACCACCACACGTCAGAGTATTTTAATACTTTATAAATAAAATTAATGTTAAAGTGATTACTTAAGAGATCTCTATCTCTTAAGTGTGTGTGTGTGTGTGTGTGTGTGTGTGTGTGTGTGTCTGTGTCTGTGTGTGTGTGTGTGTGTGTGTGTGTGTGTGTGTGTGTGTGTGTGTATCTTCTCAGATTGGACTGGTTTAGAGCCTCTTATAACAATCTGTTCTGGATGTAACTAAAGCATGTGCCACCATGGTCAAGTCAGTTGTTTCCAGGAATGGGTGCAACTGGCACAATAGCTTTAATGGCCGTATAAATACACCACCCAGACCTGACCATGCAGGCTCAGTTCTATTCTTTTGTTCTGTTCTTTCGACTGCATATATGTGCTCATCTAAGGCATCCTTCATTCTCGAGAGACTATGGTAACGTGCTCTGTATGGAGGACTTGGAACAGTATCTAGTGTGGCTGAAAAGGCCAATTCGAGAGTGGCAATCTCTTCCACACTGAAGACAAAAACAATCTGTCCCCTGTCCAGCTCCCTGATTTTGCTGGTTTCAGGGTTGCCTCTTTGCCTCAGCCTGCTGGACCAGTTTCTCTTCAAAATGAAAGAGGCCATAATGCACCGCCTGCCTCCAGGCTGAATGCTCAGATGTCAAGGTTTCCCATCTGTTGAGGTCCATTCCTAAGGCTGTCAGATCCCGCTTTCAGATATCCTTGTATCGCAGCTGTGGTCTCCCTCTGGGGCGATTTCCCTGCACTAATTCTCCATACAGGAGATCTTTTGGAATCTGACCATCAGCCATTCTCACAACATGCCCAAGCCAATGTAGACATTGCTGCTTCAGTAATGTATACGTGCTGAAAATTCCAGCTTATTCTAGGACTACTCTATTTGTAACTTTGTCCTGCCAGGTAATACCAAAAATCCGTAGGAGACAACGCATGTGGGACGTGTTCGGCTTCCTCTCCTGCCATGCACAAAGGGTCCAGGACTCACTGCAGTACAGGAGTGTGCTCAGGACACAGGCTCTATAGACCTGGATCTTGGTATATGCCATCAACCTCTTATTCAGCCATACTCTCTTTGTGAGTCTTGAGAACATGATAGCTGCTTTCCCAATGCTCATTGTTACATACAGCACTGATGTTACCTGTCTGTCATGGGTTTGGAGGGAAAGTTCCATCCTATGGGGAGTGGAAGGCGGGACATCAGGAGGAGGGGCTGTACTGTATATATATGTGATGCGTGTGTGGAGAAGTTTAGCAGACGCTGGGATGTGACGAAGCAGCAGCTGGGAAGAAGAAGCTGGTGTGGGAGTCTGTGTGTCAGACAGGGTACTACTGTGTGTCAGTACCAACCTGATAGGTTCAGGTGTCTGTTGGTTAGCCAGAACTGATAGGTTCAGGGTCTGTGCTTCAAGTTAAGGGTTCTGTGTGAACCAAACTGTATCAGGGAGTTCTGTAAACAATGTGATGTGTGTCAAAGGCAGGGGAATAGCCGCGACAGGACCAAAGCAAAGTTGTGCCCTTTGCCTGTGATTGACACTCCGTTCAAATGCATAGGGGTGGATATTGTGGGACCTTTGCCCAAGGCCACAAAGAGGGGGAACAGGTTCATTCTCACCATTGTGGACCATGCCACGAGGTACCCTGAAGCCATACCCTTGACTAACATTGAGACTAACACAGTGGCCGATGCTTTGGTGGGGTATATGTCCAGGATGGGATTTGCCTCAGAGCTAATCACAGATTTGGGCGCATCGTTCACATCAAAGCTCATGAAACGCTTATGGCAGATCTGTGGAATTAAGCACAAGGAAACCACTGCCTATCATCCTGAAAGTAATGGGTTAACTGAGAAGTTCAATGGGACTCTAATGCGCATGATTAGGGCTTACTTGGCAGAGAATCCAAACAATTGGGACCAGAAGCTGCAATCCCTTTTGTTTGCTTATCGATCAGTGCCACAAGCCAGTACCGGGTTTAGTCCATTTGAACTTCTATTTGGGAGACGGGTGAAAGGGCCCCTTGATTTGATCAAACAAAATTGGGAGCAGATCACCCAGGATGACCCACTAGACGTTGTGACATACATAGACACCTTGATGAATGACCTAAAGCGAAATCTAGAGCTGGCAGCAGAAAACCTGCAAGCGCAGAAGGTCAAACAGAAAACATGGTATGACCGCAAAGCTAGAGAGAGGCACTTTGACCCAGGGGAGGAAGTGCTTTGGCTTAGGCCCTGCAGAGAGAATAAGCTGCAGCTCAAATGGGCAGGACCATATAGGGTCATTTCCAAGATGTCAGACCTGAACTACCTTATAGAGCAGGAGGAGAACCAAGCAAGGAGGGTGGTTCATGTGAATGCCCTAAAACCCTACTACAGAGGGGAACAGAGGGTTCTATTTGCTATAAAAGCAGCTGAGAGTGAGGAAGCTGAATTACCCTTCTGGGAGGGTAGAGGGGAAGTAAAATACAACCCAGAGGAGGTCAATATCAGTCCTGCACTCACCCAAGACCAGCAGCAAGAATTAAAAATGCTGCTTAGTAAATATCAGCAGGTGTTTTCCAACAAGCCGGGGATAGTGAAGGGAGTGATGCATCGGATCCACACAGGGGATGCACCCCCGCAGGCAGTATCCCCATACCGAGTAACGGGACCCTATAGGGACAAGGTGCGGAAGGAGCTGGACGAGATGCTTAGGGAGAACATAATCGTCCCCTCTTCTAGTCCTTGGTCCTCTCCGATAGTCCTTGTGGACAAGCCTGATGGGAGCATTAGGTTTTGTGTTGATTACAGGAAGTTAAACCGTGTAACCACTCCTGATGCCTACCCAATGCCCAGGCTAGACAACCTGATTGAAACCATAGGGGGTTGTCGGTTCATCTCATCATTGGACCTGGTAAAGGGATATTGGCAATTAAGAATTGATCCCAGGGATCAAGAAAAGACTGCCTTTTGCAGCCCTTTTGGTCTCTATGAGTTTCGAGTCCTGAGCTTTGGTCTCAGAAATGCACCAGCCACATTCCAAAGGCTGATGGACCAGACCTTGGCAGGGCTCAGTGACTTTACAGTGGCCTACATTGACGACATAGGGATCTTCAGTAATACCTGGGAAGATCACCTGATACACCTGGAGTTAGT